ACACAACATTTTGTCAATAGTGAGACACCTAACATGAGAGAGAGATGTTTGAGAGTCATCATTTTAGATCGCTAAAAACACTCTTGACAATGTTCGACAAAAAAGAAAATACTTGAAGTATTTTTTGGGAAAAGCACATGCTATGTGCGTAGGATTTAAGATTATGTAATTTTATAGAAAGCACTTTCAAGTATTTTTCAAAAAAGCAATTGCGTTTTTTATTAGAAGCAATTTTGAATAAAAGTGCTTTCTAAAATAGAATTTCCTAATGGACAGAGCGAGAAAGGAAGTAAGATATGAGGGGAACGTGGGCGCGGTTTCCGTGTCTCCCATTCTTTAAAAACCCTATAAACAAATGCTGCTCATCTCCTTGGCTGAAGAGCTCTAATGCTAAACTAACCAAGGCACCTTCTTGAAGGAGCTGCTCAGCCATTTTCTTACCTGTTTTTTCATTGATTCTCATCTCTTAGAATTGGTGAAATCAGTACAAACTAGCCACTTGTTGTAAAAACAAAACCATAAAATTACAGATATTTACCAGCCATCCCTGATAATATAGTTCCATCAGTCCATTCGTTGCGTTCCACTTTGTTGCTGTCAATAAGTCGGCTAATAAGTTCTTCTTTTTTCTGCTCACTTTTTATAAAATAAAAAACAAGTAGAGGAGAGCAGGAGAGCAGAAATTACGCATACCTTTTTCTTCCCTGATGCTTTTTGATGTCATTTCTGTAACTCACATCACTTGAAAGCTAAGTAATTAGGCCTTCAAAAAGAATGAAATTATGTATGATTAGCTTTAGATATTTTTACAATCGTATTTCGGTTTGATCATCTGAATGTTTCATTTAATTTGCAATCCATGTAACTAATCTAAGATACCATGTCTCAGTCTTTGTACTGGAGAGAGACTCATCAACATAAGAATGTTATCAAGGACGAAGTTAGAAATTTGTAAGAATGAGAGCATCGTCAAACAACAAGGTACAATTAAAAAACTCAAGAATTTACTGCACAAAACACTTATATATTAATCCATAAAGTTTTTCATCATACAACATCTTACAATATTCCTTGACGTGTTTTCATGTTTTAAAAGCGTTGCATGACAACATCATTACCAATACCATCAAATATCTCTCTACAAAAATAATTATGTTTTCATCATCTATTGATCTTCCATTCGATTTCTCAATCGATTCTTCAGAAATTTCATGCCCAAAATGCTCTTTCAACGGTGTCAGTAGCAACTAGAAAAGTTAGTGCTAATGTCACAAGCATGTAAACTAGCAGATACACCTTGTTTTTTTTCCACTAGACCATTTTTTCATTCGTAGTTTAATTAGGGCTTAGGAATTGGAATGCAACATTACACACACACACAAAATTGAGTGGGGACGGATGCCCCCTAGGCCCTATATATACAGCTCCGTCCTAAAATGTTATTGTATCCATATTTCAAATCAATTGTGCATTATATCTAGATTATTATGCCTTTTTTTTTTTTTTTTGGAAAAAGGATTATTATGCGTTTTAACTTTTTAATTTAAAGTTAATTGTATTTGTGTTGACTAGTATATTTCCAACGTACAATAATCCGTCTCTCGTAAGTGCCAACGTGTCTAGTGCACGTCAAGGTGCTTTTAATTTTCTTCTTCCAAGGCCCTAGTAAATTCCTTTTTACTAATTACCTTCCATTTTCTCTTTCCACACTTTATATTCTGTGAAAATATTAGCATGTCAAAAAACTTGCAGCTGTCTACTCATTGGCTTTTGATACCTCAACTATGGCTCATGTGACTTAAGGTGGTAAAAAGTTTGAAATCAGGGTAGTAGTACAGTAGCCTCCGAGGAATTAAACAGGGAAAGGTAATTCGTAAAGGAATTAAAGGATTGCTAATAACATTCTGGGCTCTCTTTTTATCCTACAATATTACAAGAGAATCGTAATCATCTACTTCTTAGGACACTACTTAAATATTTTTTATTTGGTTAAACTAAAAAGTAAAAGATTAAGATCATAGTGCAACATTGTAATATACAAAAGAAAGCAGACAAGTTAGATAAAATAAAAAAATCTAACTAACAAGGTCGGTATCATCCCCAGAACATTTCCTTTGCATCTGGCCAATACAATTGTATGGCAGCATGCCTAATCTGCTAATAACAGAGTCCCAAACAAGACATGTACGAGAAAAAACCCGGTTTTTAGGGAATGAAACATGTCAACAATCAATCAGCAACTCCACTAATCACAAGTCCTAGCCTGCAGCTTGCCTCAATAATAATGTTTATTTTTATTTTTTTACTTTTATGATTTTGCAGACAAACATTTGACAGACAAGCACAACTCATTAAGCACTAGTTAGAAAAACTAATGACCTAATTAATTAGAGGCTCCCCAGTGTGGTAATTTTGAGGAAGACCTTGCTCATTGTCCCTCTCAGCTCCAAACACGAGTTACCTTGGGGTTTGCAATGCCGATTGTACTAATCTTGTATCATTATTCCCTTTATACCCTTCATGCCTACCATTTAATTTTGAAAGAGAAATACTAGAGAGGCTTTTTTTTTAAAATGAATTTTAATGAAAGACTCACGGTACTGTTCATTTTACCGAAAAATCACATTTTTATACTAAAAAATCAATTCTGGTATTATTTACTTTACCTTTTATTTTGTCCTTATCATTAAAACTCAAAATTTTCAAATCATTTTTATTAGTTTTCCTTTTTAAAAAATGTGACTCTTCCTGAATTATTTGGCACCTCACAATTTAACATTATTCTCGTGCGAATATTATAAAATATTGTACCAAAAGCATAAGGTGGTAGGGAGTTCCACTTTTGAGAAAATCTCTTTCACATTTCTCATTTCGAAATTCTATGTCAGCATAATGTTATCATATGAATTAATAGTTGACAATCAATCATGCGTATGTAAATGCTTAACACTGTAATTAATTTTCTGTAGAGAGCTTTTCTCTTGAAGCTGGACATAAGCAAAACCATAATGGTATAAACATGTTCTCAAGATATTTCCTAAATTATAAATTTTGAAGTCTAGTCTCAAACCAGAAAACAAGAAAAATAATTCTTTTGAGGCAGTTCGGTTTGTCCTTTCTTTTCTCCTTTTCCCCCCTTCTTAAGCAAGGATTTGTAGGTATGTTGGAGGCCTGGAGCTTCCTGAATGGTAAAATGAAGTGCTAATTATCTACAGCTCCCATTCACTACTTAATGTGATGAGAAAGCTTTCTAACGATTAATCTCTAAAAATTATATGAAAGTTTGTTTAATAACTATTTCGTTTTTACTTTTAAATTTTGTTTTTGTGTTAGTGATACAAAGTAAATACACGAGAGAAATACGAGATATTTAAGAGTGAAGGAAGGATGATAGAGATGTGATAAGTAGATTAAATTTTGAAGGAAAGACACAAAGTCTAACCTAAAACAAAAACCATGTTGGTGTTTAAGCTCCATCCCCCTGCTTCATTGCTATTTTTTCTCATAGATTTTCTTCATATATTAAGCACAAAAATAAAACTAAAAATTAAATACAAAAATGATTATGGAACGAGCTCTGAAAATAATTTCCTATGACAATAGCCAACCACTCAGCTTAGCTTAGATGTCTACTATGACTGAATATTACCATCCACGTGTATGCTTGACGAAACGACACGACTAGCAAAACCCTAGCAGTTACAGCCAAAACAAAAAGAAGAAAGTAAGAAAGCTCATCACAGTCGCAGAACCAAAGAAAGAAAGGAGAGAAGAGGATGGCCATGGCCAACCCCACGTGCCATGAAAAGCAGAAAGGTATTATAGTAAGCAAAGAAGGTCACGTGCAAGGGATCCAAAGGAAACGCCTGGCTTTAAACCCTAGACAAATTTAAACTTGCAGTGTCCAAAAGCTTAAGTGTGTCTTGGGACTGGTCACTCTTACTGACCAACCAATAATTCCTCCTTTTGTCGTTCAAAACCTAAACGAGAAATATTTCTAAATTAATTGTCATGTGATGTACTATTTTACGTGTTATAACATAAGTGATGGATTAAGTTGATATGTTTCATTTTTAAAGTATTAAAAAAATGCACATTTATAATTTAAGTGAAAAATAGTAACATATGCTGATTATGTTCTGAATATACAGAAAAACCTTTTCTAATGGTGGTCAAAGGTCAAAGATTCAAAGTGAACAGGCTATTTAGAAGAACAAGTAGGGGTTGCGGGGTCAGCGGATGAGCCGCACGAGGGGATCTTCCTGCCCCTCTCTGCCCTGTGTGTCGTCTGAGTTAGTTCCATTTGCTTTGTTTGAAAAGGGTTTTCTTTATTTATTTGTCCAGCCACTTCACCATGCCCTATTATATATTCATGCCCTTACTTTTAAGTAATATATCTCACATGGAGCCTTTTTCCCCAAAGATTAATGCCTCAAGAGTCAAGATCTTGTGCGTCCAAAGACCAAGGCTACAATACAGCATGATGTACTGCAGTACTAGTTATATTCGAGGAGAAATTTTGAGTAGGGATTCTGTTTAGAACAACTCTCACGTAGAAACGAGATCAGTGTGAAGACAGATGAAATTAAAATAAAGGGAATTTTATTAGTTTGTGAGGTTGGTTGGACAAAACACATGGCATTTTCATATTTTTTTTAGAAAAATTCAAATTTATTGCTGAAATCTTGTCATAAACACAAAAGCTCAAGTAAATTGAGTTCAAGTCTTCTACTTACTATAATACCTTTTTGCTTTTAAAGAAAATGTTTTTGGGTGTTAAAGGCACTTGAATTGCTTTCTGCCAAAAACACTAGTTATGTGTTTCTTGCAGGAAGCATTTCTAGTGTTTTTCAAAAATTCACTTGCATTTTTGCTAAGGATTGATACTAAAAATATTTTCACCAAAAACGATTTTAACCATTTTAAAAGCACCTCCAAACTAGCCCTCAGATTAAACTGGCCATCAATCTGTCTTTACTATTCAGAAACCACTAATAGAGTTATTGATAATGTTAAGCACTGCTGCTATCATTCTTTATACAGTTAATAAAATACTTCTCCTTAACAATGATACTTTACATCTTCCCCAGATTACCCACCTTTTCAGGTTTTTGTATTCTTCTTTTCAAATGTTTAGATATGTTAGATATACTTACATATAAATACACTATACAACAGTTTCAACAAGATATATGATAAATACATGTACGGAAAAATGATGTTCAAACGGCTCAAACCTAGTTTAAACTCTTAAGGTTTCTGAGCAGAAAACATGATGAAAGCTTGTTGAACGTTGCTCGTGTAGTTGGTGAGACCGCATGATGCACACAAGTCCTCGATCTCCTCCTCCGTTAAATGGTTGTAGCCCTGAAGAGCCCTCTGCCACACCAACACCTTAAAATCAATATTTGTTTTAAGTTTATAACCACCCTTAAACAGACCCTAGCTCACTACTACTAATGAGTCGTCTCTGATGAAATTCAACTATTTGGATCACAGTAACGACTATCTTTTACTTCATTCGTGACAGATTTATACAGAACTAGAAATGAAATGTGGATATTACGCAATTGTTGTTTCGAACACACATTCTATGACTGGTATATACAGATAGAAAATTGACAGGTCTGAACCAAATCTATCATTGATCACATTTGGTAATCATTGATTAAGTATTACCTCTCTGAGTTGCCGGGTTATCCAGGGAGTAGATGGAGTATACCGCAGAAAAGTAGTTCCAACAAAGACTCCACCACTTCGTAATATGCGAGTTATTTCAGCAATCTGAAAATTAAATGAGATATGAGGTTGAAATTAATAGAAGCTTTGTTACATCCAAACACGTTTTAACGGAGTAAAACAATGAAAATTTTATGAGATTCTAATAGTTTATGACTTTCAGATGCAACAAATAGAGGTCCACCAGAGAACGGTGCTACAAGCAAACCACCGGATAGCTAATTTCATTAATTACACCTGAAAAGATGTAACTAGTATAGGAGACAAAGACAAGCAGATCAGAATCTGTGGTGTACTCTCTTTCTTCTATCGAAAACTGCACTGTGTTCCATATGAACTAACTCTGCAATGCGCCAATGGCACACATACTATGGCTTGTGCATTAATAGAAATCTTGTAATTCCACAAAAGCCGGAATCTTTTACCTAAAGGTTAGAATTCTGATTCCAATTGACCCGCATATGGTATAACTAAGATTGCTAGGTTCGTTAATCACTACCAATTGACCCGCATATAGTATAACTAAGATTGCTAGGTTCGTTAATCGCTACCTGCTCTCTCTCTTTTCCTTGTTGACAAGTTATGTACTGCTGGTAGCCTGTTAGAACACTCAGCTAATCTCCTAGCACATGGAGTCTCCCATCCAAAACACTCCACGCAATTCTAAGGGTTTGGCATTAGTATTCAAATCCGTGTCCAAACCCAAGTTGAAGAGCCACTAAGACAACACCCTTGGGTCTGACATGATTGATTTCCGGAAAGAACAGAAGAAACTTGACAGGTCAAAAGATATCATCCATCTATTTCTCACACACCATGGCACCACAAGATGCCTACCTCTTTTGGTCACTTGTAAAAGGCCCTGGGGTTTACTCACCTCTAAGGTTTACTCACTATTTCACATTTCATCTCATATTCCTAATTAACAATGAATCCAGAATCAAATGGTTCAACGCTTAGTTCCCCGTATGATTTTAGATCCACTCAGAGGATGTAACACGACACTTTCATGTGTTTAACGGTGTAAGACTATGCAGTTCATCCTCTGACTTTGCATACTACTAGCATCTCCGATTGCAATAAAAGGTAAAGGTAGCCAACACATTTTGTTTTAACGCACATAACAAAATCCTTTTGGGAGAAGAGAATCATAGGAATCACATGAAACGCAACTTACAGCATTGGAAGGAGAGGGCCAGCAATGCAATGCTGCGCCGGCATGGACAGCATGAACTGAACCCGAAGGGAACGGAAGCCTAGCAACATCCGCCCTCACAAGAGCAAGATTACTGCACTTATTCCAGTGAACCGTAAGCAATGATAAACATCTCATTTCACTACCAAAGACCACATAAACATTGATCACTCAGAAGAACAAACACAAACTTACGTATCTAAAAGAGTAGGATCCCTCTTAAAAAATTCATAACTCTGCCGGAGCATGTTCTCCGAAAAATCAAGTGCAACAACAGCAGAATATGTCCCGGATTTCGCAAACTTCCTCGAAAACAAGCCGCTCCCACAGCTCACATCCACCAAAACACCGCCTTCGGCGGATTTAAAGTAGTCCTGAGCCATCTTAAACTGCAAACCACATAAGAACCTAAACTTGCTAAGCAATCCAAAACTCAAAATTAAGCAACAAAACAAACCCAATTCACCAAAAACCGAGCAAAAAAAAGAATCCAAATTTGCTGATTTACCTCTTCATCGGGACCTGGAAATCCGCTGAGGTTAAAATTCTGGCGCCAACCCCTTTCATACAAGAAGGAAACGAGAGGGCTCCGGAACACCTCGGTCCGGATCGGTTGTACCTCAACGTACTCCTTCAACCCAGCAGTAACAGTAAGGTCCAAGTAAACGTCTTTACTCGAATACGACTTGTCGCATTTCCTGCACTTGAACCCCGACCTGTAAATTGCTCGCCTGCAAAATTTGCAAATCACAAAACGAAATCGAAACACTTACGACACCAATTTCAAGAAAAAGACCGAGGCTTTGTGTCGTACTGTTACTCACAGATTGAGACCCGGCGGCCCTTTTCGGATGAGTGGTTCGTAGCATACTGGGCAGGCAAGCAGCTCGAGGTCAACGCCGGAGCTTTGGATTTCCTCGGCCCTCGACCGCCGCTCCTGCAATATCGGAAACTCGAAATTTAGAAGGACAAAAATGGAAGCGGAAATTGAGGAGAGAGGGGAGGATGAGGCGGTACCGGTGGGAGAGTGACGGTGGAGGTGGCGCGAATGGGGTGAGAGTGATGGCGAGAGGGGAGACGGAGACGGGGATGGCGGAATTGAGAATTTCGATGGAGGGGAGAGTAGTTTCGGGATAGAAATGTTTGGTGGAGAGCGGACGAGGGTGTCGTCGCCATTGGAGATGTGGATTCTCAGCTTTTTTTTGAAATTGGCGGAGTGAGAGTTGTAACAGAAGAAAATTTGGCGGATGGAGAGACACGGAGGCAATATGACATCACTCTCAAACACGTGCGGGTCACATGCTAGCAGTATAAAAATGAATTTTATTGACCGAAAAAAATGTTTTTTTTGCCCCAGTTTTACTTAATAGTAATAGGGTTGGATCAAATTTCGCCTGTAAGTTTATCTTATGATGTGGATCTAAGTGCGGATAAAGGAAGATAAAGAGTGCGTTAGGTTTCCACAGCTGACATTTCGTTTTTTATATTGAATTCATATAATAATGGTTATTGGTTGTTATAATTAGACTGAATCAATTAAGAAAAAGTAATGAATGACTCAATTTTCATTCGAGCGTGACAACTCCAAAAAAAGCCCTGGATTTGGCAAATCTCCTGGAAAATAAACCGCTTCCACAGCTTAGATCCACAACTACAGCACTACGACCACCACCTTCAAGAGGGCCTTTTCGGATGAGGGGTTCGCAGCATACAGGGCATGCTAACAGCTCTATGCTATCGCTGGAGCTTTGAGTTTCGGGTTGGAAAGTAAGTAGGGAGCGTGCATTTCCGGTTTCTGTTGCTTGGTGAAGAGACGAAGAAGCCATTGTCACAAAAACTAGTACTACTTTACTTCTTGTTCTTCCCCAAAATAATGTGTTCATTTGTAAAAAGTTTACGTCGGTGTGGCCTTAATCTACACATGTCACAATCCGTGGACTTGGGAAATCTGCATTCTGCAGAAATCCCATGACCAAAAACATGTGTCTCAATCAATCCTTGGACTTGGGACCAAATCCCTCTCTCTCTCTCTCTCTCTCTAATTGTGACATTGGAGGATCTCTGCATTGTCACTTAGTACTACAATCTGGTGGTATTCCTCTTTACTTGTAAGTGAGAGGTCTTAGGTTCAATTATCGCCAAAGACGAATTTGAACCACATTATTACTAGCTCATTGTGAGGTTAAACACACCTCCTTCATCTTAGTGTAATTAATATCGTTTGTTAAAAAAAAAAAATATATGCATTGTGCCGCAGCAATTAATATGAAAACTTTGATGGTAATAAGATGGAGACCATATATTACATAGAAAATGATTTATGCACTTCCGCTTTCTTCTCTTGCATTTTATGTCTTTTTCTAGCCGTTGAATTAAATAGATTAAAGAAAAATTCGAGGGACACAAACAAAGAAAGAATTGCCAGAGGATGATATGCAAAAATCATTTTCATAAGTGCATATTTGAACCTAAAAAGTTCTTTTAGCTTTTAATCCATCACCTTTAGATTATAAGTTCACATATCCCATTTCTCTTCTAAAAATGACTACTGCATGATACAATAATCAAATCTTAAGATAATTACAAAAAACAGAACTTAAGATAAAATCACTCAAATCTACTTGCAAAAACGAAGATAAAACAGATTTAGAAAACTAATTAGATGCTTTATTACATACGAAAATCTTTAAAATAAACACCCTCCTTGTCTTGGAATTCCCTATATGGCTCTCTCCAGAAAGCAGTTTTCGATATAAAGACGACGCCTTCGTTCCCTCGCGTAGATAACCCAGAAGATCATTGAAAGCACCAGAGCTGCAGACATCATTGCCAAACCAATGTAAATCCAGCTGCTGTGTTTTTCCAAACCATGACACTTCCCACTGCTTATGTCTCTGAATGCATCCCTAACAGATCTGCAGGATTGCAGATTCGTCAAGAATTTATCGTAACCGTAGAGTACGTAGCTCAGATTTGCTGTAGTTTCCATTTGTCCGTACAATGTGGGAGTCAGCCAGCTGCCCGGTTTTGTACAAGTACCAGCCTTTGAAACCTCACACACATATTTCTTCCACACCTGCTCAGAAAAAAAATGCCGGTCTTAGGGTATATGCAGATAGCACAAATTTTTCAAGAAAGCACTTTTAGGAGAAGCAAGTTCTTTTTCAGAATGCACTTGGAAGTGCTTCCTAAGGTATGTTCAAACAACACTTCCAAGTTCTTTTACAACCCTAGAACATTTCAACTCTTTTTTGCCAAACATTGTCTGAAGAGCTAGTCTTGTTTGGAAGTCCTTTTAAATGGTTAAAAGTTCTTATGAATGATCAAAAGAACTTTAATCTAGTGCTTCTGGATTTGAACAGCACATGAAAGTAGTTTCTAACATATGCACTTGCAAGTGTATTTTTAAGCAAGCACTTAAAAAGTTTTATTAAAAATTTGACATGCTTCTATAGATGCGCTTGCAGTGAAAACACTTAGGAGTAGAAGATGCAGGCTTCAATTTTAGATACTTATATAATTTGTGTTACCTGCGTGGCATTTTGCAGTGGCACTTCACCGGAGATACAATGTCGGTCGACGAGATTTGAATGGAAAGGGTTGCAAAGAAGAGGTACTGATCTATCTGACTGATTATCGACATTCGAAGCATTGGTTATGACATGGTTAACCACAGTAACAAGCTGGAAGGTTGCATCCTTGGTGCGCAACGCAGCCTCCTGGGCAGTAGCATTGTCCACACATGGGAGTATATCGTCAAATGCAGTATGAGGTTCAGGGTTCTGAACCCATTCATCCATGGCGACGCATGCATCTCCAACCGCACTATGCAACATAGGAAAAGAAGTCACATGGAGGACAAGCTGAAAATTAACTTCTAAACTAGAAATGCTTCCTACAAAAGCAGTGACAAACTGTACTTGTGGAGGACAACAAATGCACCGCACAATATGAACGCTAACGTGACAAGAATCCACCCGACAATCACCAAGCTGCACACAAATGAAATGTTTGAGGACTTTCTTGTCAAGCAAGCAAATAAAGAGCAAAGATTTCATGGTTTTTATCACTTACATGTGTACACCAACTTGCTTCCCTAGGATCGAAAATACTGCAACAAGTAGTACAACGTGATTAAATGCCAATTAATACTCGAGTTCTCGAAATTAATTCCTCCTAAATTGAAAGAAAATAAAAGACTTACAAATTCCAAGCAGGGCCAGAAAGATCATAGCTGCAACAAGGTTAATGAGAAGGATCCTCCTGCAAAACATTGTAGCAAATACATATGTTATATAATCCAAACAATTGTCCGATTAATTTCAAGAGCTTGTAGAATATATATCTATTTACATGGTATTCAAGCTATCTTTTATAGTCTTTAAATTCTTTTTTGTTCTATCAGAAAGTGTAGCTGCAGAAGCGTCAATTTTTGTTAAGATATTGTCAATTTTCTTCTGGACATCTGCTGGCAGAAACACAGCATCAACTCCAATCCGCTTAGCTGCACTGAGATTATATGACACATTCCTGAGCTTTGCAGCATTTGTATTTGCCTGACTAACAACATGGTTCAGCGCATCGGTTGAACTTCCCTGGAACTTTCCTTGACCGGAGAACAGAACAATGAATCCAACGCTGGAATAGACGGTGCAAACGGTAAACAAAATCATCAGTTCATACAAATCACAGGCAAAAATTGTCCGTGCACGTTAGATGTGTGTGCGCTCACGCGTAAGGAGAGAGACATACATTGCGGCAAGGGTGAAGAAAACGAGGAAGATGGGAGAGAGAGCATAAGCTCTTCTAGAATAACCGTAAGGCTCTTTAGGGCGACAGAAGTTGCAGATACAGGTTAGGCACAAGCTTATCGCGAATATCTTGAACCATACGACAGCAATGACAAGGAAGGGCGTCGCGGTATAGTTAACAGACTGCATCATAAATTCGTAATCAATTTGCAAAAATATTCATTACGCAACATGATCAACACAATGTCCCAAACAAGTACATATGAATAGTCATTCATAAGTTTTCATAGAAACCGAAATAATAAGAAGTACAAAGAAAACTCACAGCCCAGTAATGCTCATTGCTTATGTTCCAGCCACCTGTGTATCTCTTAAATCCGTCACGAGGGTCTTTCCGGCGTGTCCTCTCCCTAGACAATATTGTCAGAGGTGCGTTTCGGGGAGTTTTTTCTTCTGCTAGAGACCTTCTTGTGCCCCAAGTCACCACCACCCCACCATGCTCTCTCTGATCACCACCCTCCCCTACAATGCCAACACGAGCACAAACCGTAAACAAACACATTAAAGATCAAAATATAACACAAAAGGAAGCATTTTCGGCAACGAAAAGAGACTAAAGCAGCTGCGATACAGCACCTGTTGTTTGCAAAGTGTCACAGTTTCCGAAACCGAAAGAAATGAAGAAGGAAAGGGAGAGAAAAAGAAGCAACGTTTTTGATGTGAAGCATAACATTTTTTACCACTCAGAGAAATGGATGGAGAAAATACAACTGATCAGTTGAAGTGAATTTGAAGGAACCCAGATAGCAAATATTGAAGATGCTTTTTTTTTTTTTACAGTTCTACTTGGATAAGATCCCTTCAACGATCCTAAGATTTCAACTGCTTTTTTGTACTCCACCCTCCACTACTCCCACTACTTACTGAGTTTAACCGCAACATGGAGAGAGAGAGAGAGAGAGAGAGAGAGAGAGAGACTTTTGTTTGATGATATGTGTTGAATTATCTGCACTCTCCACAAAAAGAGTTTAATTGCACGGATATTTAGGATTTTGTTTGGTTTTAATTTGACCATGGTCAATGAGAGTATATATAAGAACGTGTGGTGCTGACAAAAAAACGCGCATGCAAAGAGGCTAGTATATTTGGTTCGCGGCAGTTAGATTGTAAAGGGCATTGTTTATCTGGACTTCTAAAATGTAATAGAACTAGTGTAATAGAATGACAGCTCCGAAATATTACTGCTTTGTCTAATGGAGTTTCTGAGGAAGCACAAATGAGTACTGCATAGTAATAAAACCAAACCACAATGTACAAAAGAACTCCGAAGGTAAAATCACTCGAATGTACATGGACGAAAACATATTTTTACCCAAGTTCGATGCCCACTTATACATGGAAACCTTTAAGCACCCTTGTCTTCGAATTCCTCGGCGGCTTTAGCAGATGCAAACTTTTTAGTGTACACTCGATGCCTTCGCTCCCTTGCATAGATCACCCAGAAGATCAGTGACAACATCACGGCTGCAGATACCATTACTAAGCCAATGTAGATCCACTCACTATGTTTTCGCAGACTAGGACAATTGTTTTTACTTATGTCGGTGAACGTAACCCTAACAAATGTGCAGTCTTGCAGATCAACCAGGAATGGACCGTAACGATACAGACCATAACTCACGTTTCTTGCAGCTTCCATTTGGCTATAGATGATTGGATTCAACCGGCCAACTGTCCTACAGATACCAGTTGCAGAAGCCTCGCAGACATAACGCTTCCATACCTGCTTGAAACAAAAAATGCGAATCTTAGTAGTTTTTACTGAACTAACAGAAAGATGTAGGAAATGTTTATATCAACTTCGATGCTTCATTTATATTACCTGGGTGGCATTTTTCAGTTCCACCTCACCAGGGGCACACTGTCGATCCGAGAGGTCAGAATTGAAAGGGTTGCAAAGAACAGGTAGTCGTGGGCCAGACTGATTAAAATATACAGGTCCGGCAATAGGTGGATAATTAACGTTTGAGACATTGTTGACGACACGATTAACCACAGTAACAAGTTGGTGGGTTACATCCTTGGCCTGTATCGCAGTCTGTTGGGCAGTAGCATTGTCCACACATGGGAGGATATCATCCAATGCAGTGTGAGATGTGGGATTCTGGACCCACTCATCCATGGAAACACATGAATCTGCAACCACACTATATACATAGGACGAGAAGTTAGAGGAACAGAAGACAGATTAGAAAACAACAGAACAGAACAGTCATCAGCTAGACCCAATGACACGAACATAGGTGCGACTTAGAAAGTAATATGATGTGATCATAGCCAAATAGTACTTACTTATGGAGAAGGAGAAATACACCGCATAATATGAATGTACCCGCAACAAGAACCCACCCAACAATCACCAAACTGCATAAAAGAGGTAAGTGGATGTGAACAAATGTTTGAGGACTAGGATACAAATGCTTCCAAAATTCGAAGATGTTAAAATAAAAAGGAAACAGCTTTCACTTACAAGTATACAAGGCTTGCCACCCGAAAATGGAAAACACTGCAAGTAGTAAAAAGAAGAAAAATATAAGAATAATAGTCAAATCTTCAAAATCTGTGCCTCTAATCAAAGGAAAGTGAAAAGACTAACCAAATCCAAGGAAGGCCAAAAAGAGCATAACAGCAGCAACAATAATGAGAGCCAGTCCCCTGCAATATATAGCGAGAGACAAATATTACACACAGCATTGTGAGCACAAGTTCCAGAGCTTTTAGAACATACTTACACGCTATCCAAGACATCTTGTATACTCTTAGAATTCTTTTCACTTTTATCATCAAGTGTACTGGAAGCAGAGTCGAGCTTTGTCATAATATTGTCAATGTTACTCTGAACGTCGGAAGGCAGAAATACAGAGTCAACCCCAATCCGCTTAGCTGCACCAAGATAACCTGACAAATTCCTGAGGCTTTCAACAGTCTTATCAGCTTGACTCACAACATAATCCAACGTCTTTGTTGTGCTGCTGTGGAACTTTCCCTGACCAGTGTACAGAACAATGCATCCAACACTATGGACCAAGATAAAAATTAAAGGATGTCATCAGTTCACAAAAAAAAATATAGTACTTGTCCATTGGTGTCAAATATAGTTACTATGAACTGTGGAGAGAGGGAGGGAGAGAGACTTGCATTGCCGCAAGGGTGAACAAAATAAGTAGGATGAGGGAGAGAGCATAGCATGTTCTAGAATAACCATAAGGCTCCCGTGGACAACAGCAGTAACAGAGACAGATAAGGGACAAGCTCAGCCCAAAAATCACAAACCAGACAGCAGCAATGGCAAAGAAGGGAACCGCAGTGAAACCAACAGACTGCATAAAAAATTAATAACCAATGTTAGCATACCGTTCAGATACATATTAAATATACATTCCAATCTCCAAACAAAGTCCAAAAGAAAAAGGTAAAAAAGGATTTGAGAATCAACGAAAAGATATGATATCATAATTAGTCAATGGATAACATTCTTGGAAGCATTCAAGGCCTGCATAAAGACAGGATACCGCACAAAAATAATTTATTCATGAACAATATAATGACAGAGTTCAAGACCTGCATCTTTTAAGTATAAAGACATGGTCTTTCTTTGTAAGCATAAAAATCAATGGAAAGACAATTAGATACCAAATTAGTTTTAAACAAAGCCACAATGTAAGTTAAAAATCAAAAAATAATGTTGTGATTGCATTAATCTGCAGAAAAAATATGCTACAATTCATAGTTGGGGTGCAGAGAGGGGTATGGTTCATCGTTTGATTCTAAGTGCGAGGAACATGAGCTCGGGTGCCTCCGGCCCTCCAAGGACTTTCAGCTGAGGAAAAATTCATACCCCAGCAGATATAGAATGGCATTTGCTTGGAAAGTCCAAGTCTTCATCCAATTAGGTTCTTAAGGAACATTTAGTATAATTAAATCATCCATCACAGCAGCAAAACACCCCCAAAAACAACAGAATTATACCATAGCTCATAAATTCAGAAAAACCCAAATCACAAAAATAACAAAAAAACAGCCAAATTATAAAACTTAATCAAAAGAGTTGAGAGAACTCACAGCCCAGTAATGCTCATTGCTGATATTCCACCCACCATTATATTTATTAAAACTATCAAGTGGGTCCCTCCTGCGCGTCCTCTCCTCAGCCAACAGCAGAGACGAGTTCTGGGCAGTTCCGCTTGCAAGCGACCTCCTTGTTTCCCATACTACCGACCCACCAGCATCATCATCCCCTCTCCCACCACCTGAAACAATCACAAGAGTAACCCCAAATTCAAGATTCAAAATCCCATTTCCTCAAAGAACAAAAGAAGAAAAAAAAAAAAAAAAAACTGTTTCAGAAACCCCACTGTACCTGTGTGGGAAATGCGAGAGCTTGCTGAAGTGAAAGCAACGAGGAGGCAAAAACTGAGAAAAAGGAGCAACCTTTTTGGTGGGTTCGATCTAAAACCAGGCATTTTGAATTGGGTTTTTGAGTTTTTAGATTGCAGACGAAGAAATTTTCCAGAAGGATAGAGGAAACGTTTCGGAAATTATCAGAGGAAAGCCGCGTCCATTTGCTTATATCCGTTTGCTCAACGAGAGAGAGAGAGAGAAAGTGTGAGAGAGATATGTGTGTATATATATATATGATAATTTACTACTGTTTTTCTTTCAAGCTGTGTTCTCGTGGTCCTTTCGATTTCCACGGACAGTAACGGGCACTGACTCGCAAAAATGAACTCTGTCGGCGTTTTTATCATGACGAAAATGCCCCTTTTATATTTTTCTCTGTTTCTCATTTAGATTTTAATTATTTTATGTAGAAAGAATATTTTTTAGAATTACTTTTGTTTGCATTGTTTTTGGGAATAAAATGTTGCGAATAACAGTGTATTTGAAATATTTAAACATTGCGAATAAGTGTGGTACGTCACATATCATTATATAATTAAAGAGATATTTGTAAAAATATATATATTTTTTCAATTGTATAATGACATATAATGTACCGTCTATACTCTAAGTTCAATAAAAATTTTCTTGTAAAATAACAAAATTAATTACTCAGGTTTTCAAATGTAAAATTGGACATAAACACTATCATTTAAAAGCAAATCTTGTTTTATAAGTGACAAGACTCACAACCACCCTCTTTTTGACAAAAAAAAAAAAAAAAAACACTATCAAAATTAATTACTGAGGTTTTCAATTATATAATGACATGTAATGTACCATCTATACTTTGATCTCAATAAAAAAATTTCGTAAAATAACAAAATTAATTACTCAGGTTTTCAAAGACATAAACACTATCATTTAAAAGCAAATCTTGTTTTATAAGTGACAAGACTCACAACCACCCTCTCTTTTGACAAAAACAAAAAAAAATCAAAGGATCTGCTTTACTTTAAGAATTTTTTTTTTCCTTTTCTTAATATACCAATTATAATGTGTGTGTTTTGGTAAATGTATGATTTATTGGAAAAAAAATTCAATATGTGAAAACACGATCTTGTACATCAAGTGTAATAATATAATTAGTTAGAAACTTGAAAAAAATATTATGATACTTGATATATCGGCAGTGTTCCTAACATACTGAGAATCTTCTATTTATTGTGGCTCAAAATATCTAATTAATTACTGCTTCAGTAGGTGGCCAATGTTTCTGATAAAACAGCAGTCCTGATATATTGATTAGAGAAGAAGAAATTGGACAAAGGTAATGAAAATTTGATCAAATTAGTGGAGCGTGACGTGTGTTTGCCTTATTGAAGTTCAAGAAATTTTGTACGAAGCAGGAATTTGTAGCTCAGTTGTTAGGAATATTTATCATTGAGCTAAGGTTTCGAGTTCAATTTCTCATCCTTCGATATTGTTTTTACAGTAAAAATAATTTTCCCTATAATACTAAGAGGATTGTATTCAATTAGGATTATGTGAGATTTTAAAGGAGTTTGAAAATTCAGGGGTATTCAATTAAGATTTTAATTGAATCAGTCAGATGCAGGTTGTATTCAATTTATATTTATAAAAAGTCATTCAAAGTCTGGTGATATTCAATCCATATTCTTAGATTGACTTTCCAAATCTGTGAGTATTTTAAAAGTCATGAAATTTATTGGATTCAATAAATTTATTGATTTTGATGTATTATAAAGCGTGAGGTGTAAATATCAAAGGCTCTCACAAATCAGGCACCCTCCTCCATATTTCAACTTGATTTCTCCTTCAAACCCGACCACAGAATACTAACAACTTCTTCAAAATCCTTTCTCTCGGTAATACACACAATATGCTATGTGTTTTTCTCAATGATTCATTATGAGTATGAAAATTTTGATTACATAATTTTTCTTTTTATTTCTGCGATTTTATAACTTGCAAAACAAGGACTCAACAATTTTATCAATCATGTCTTGGAATCCAGGTTTTACATGATTTTTCATCTAGCTTGTCAAATTTTAACAATGATTCATAACCCTTTTGGATTAATGTGTGTTTGCTTAAAAATTAATGTCAGTGCTAGCTTCGTCTAATTTCGAAATGGGAGATTTACCTCAAGGAAGGGGCAAACAGTATAACCAATGGTCCTCCATAGAAAGCAAAAGTTTGTTAGAACTAATGGTTGATGCTGCCAAGTGAGGATGGTGTGATGCTAATGGTTCGTTTAACAAGCAATTAGTAGAAACGAGGATATTTTCTGTTCTTAATGAAAAATTTGGGTGCAACAAAAATTATAGTCAATATACGAGTCGGCTGAGATGGATGAAGCAACAATATCAACATAATTCTAAATTTTTGGCAGACCCAGGTTGTCACATCTAGACCCGAGCTCCCACCATATTCTGAGTTCGACTCCACCGTAGCACAATATTGTCCGCTTTGAGCCCCGACCACGCCCTCACAGTTTTGTTTCTGGGTGGTCGGGGCCCAAAGCGAACAATATCGTGCTACGATGGAGTCGAGCTCGGGATGTGGTGGGGGCTCGGGTCAGGATGTGACACAGATGACAAAGTCTCAAGGTATATTGTGTTTTTCTTTGCTTGGTTTGGATAGTTAGAGCTCAAAAGAAAAGTAAAAAAAAAATGAATAATTTGAGAGGCAAAAGTTTAGCCGACCATATAATACGTGCAAGAATTGAATGTGTGGCTTGCATTCCAATAAGTTCAATAAAGATTTTACTCTTATTCGGAAAAAAAAAAAAATAGCTCAATGAGTCTATTAAACTTCATAAAAATCTATTGAACTTCACAAAGGAATTCATATCAAATATTTTTACAATGCACCGGCTTCTATGTGAATCAATTAAAATCCATGAAATTCATGGAAGTCAATAATTACATTAAACTCTATCAGATTCTTGGTTGAATACACTCTCTTAAGTAGTTAGTCAAGTTGTTCAAAGTCTGAATCTTCCTATGTATTATTAGAAATTATTGAATATAATGGTTCTTTATAGCAAATGAAGAGGGTATAATTGCTATTAAACTTGAATGTGGACCATCACAAACACATGATAATTATATTTGACGTGTTCAAAAAAATTAGAGCCGTAAATTAACCAAATATTAACTCGAAAACGTGATTGGAGTGATATATATATATATATATTGGTAAAAATAAATGTTTGATGTGTTTGTAAAATTAAGAACAAGAATGAAACAAATACTACGCAAACATTCAAGGAATCAATATTTTTTCGGATCTCGCGGTTCAGAGCCCATGACAGAATAAATGAACAACTCTTTTTAAATTTTACAACTCCTAATTATTCATCTTACTGGCGCATCTCATAAACATCATGTGCTCATATTTCTCTCTCAATTTTTTCAAACAAACAAATTATGTGCTCCGTCACTTCCGACCGCAGAATTTAGAGATAATTTGAATTAACATTCAAGACGTATGAATTGTGTGGTGGTGAATATATATATATATATATATATATATATATATATATATATAGAGTTGAATTGGGGCCATTTCTTTTTGTGGTCGAGTCCATAGTGGTCGAATTGGGTGACAGCCAAAATCTTATCAATAAGATCATTTGGACGTTAGCAACTTTAAGATGAAATCTCTGTCTTTTTTATTCCAAGCCGATATCATATCTTACTTTGATTTACGGAAAAAGAAAATAACTAAACTTGAGTGTAAAGCGTCTTATTCAGTATTATGACTAATTGATTTAACTTGCATTTACACTAGTACACCATCTGATCTAAATCATGTGTGTGTGTTAACTTATGATTATTATCATTAAGAGAAATTTAGTAGCAAAACAAAATTTCTTAAAAAGGAGACGAGTTGGAGGATTTGCCACAACAATTCACTTTTTCGGTGGCCGAGAAAACTTACAGAGACTTTATCATGACAGTTCACTTTTTGGGCAACTAGAAGACTCACAAAGACTTCATCATGGCAGTCCACTTTTTCGGCTGTCAATAAGACTTACAGAGGCATTTTAGCCTACCGTTGACCACAATCGTTTGATTAACGAGCATCGTGAGTCAAAAACAAGACCTGTCGTATGTAATACGACCTACAATTCATCACAAATCACTGGATCACTGCGTGATGATTACTTAGGAGCAAAAGTTGAATATTATGAAATAATTTGAACAGTTGTTTTGAATAATTTTTGTGCATATAATATAGTTTTGGGCGATTTTGTGTAAATGGCATGCATAATAATATAAAGTGTATGAGTGTGAGGTGTTGCAAGCACACTGCATCATCACGACACACGTTTTCCTTTGAAATCGTCAACCTTATGTTGACATGCCAAAATTAATATACACGTGACATGCCAACTATAAAGTTCTAAGGATGTTCATAACACGAAATTGAATTATATTTTCTGTTGGCCAAACCAAACTAAAAAGCAATATCTCAATTCTTATTTTCATGTGGATGGATTGACAATATGCATCATTCCATGTGGTTGGCACTTTTAATAGTGGTGGCAGGCTGTAGTTTGTACACAAGAACGTCATGTCGTAATTGGGAAACTTAAAAACATGTATGAGCTCATTTAGAAGCGTTTTAAAATAACTAAAAGTATTTATAAGTAAAATGTTTTGGGGTTTCAAAAACATTTTAAGTGCTTCATGCAAGAAGCACCAGTCAAACACTTCAAGTGTTTTTTTTTTTTTTTTTTTTTTTCAGGACTCACTTGCATTTTTATTAAGAATTGATTCTAAAAATATTTTCACCATAAACACTTTTAGTCATTTTAAAAACACTTTCAAACAAGCCAGTAGGCTTTTAAGATTTCTATTTTTAATTTTATTTTGTATCAAGCGACTTTGAAGTTGGTATAAGCTAAAAATGAAAGTAGGCAAATCACAAGTATGCATCTCACAACTCCTGCAACAGTTAAATTAAACTTTGAATGTCGGTTTATACTAAAAGAATGGTCCACATTATTAGCTCCTCATTATAGAAAGATTTTTAAGTGTGTCTCGGAACGTGGACACATACATTATATGTCGTTATCCAAGTGGAGGGACACTTGAAAAAAAATAAAAAAATTCTTTCACTTATATAATAACATATAATATATTATTCCGTGATTTAGACACATAAAAATTGTCTTCCCATTATGGGGCTCAAAAA